ACCTCGACTTGGGTGCAATTTCAGGGCTTCCTTACACTGACGGGTCTTACCCACAGGACTGGAAACCAAAATGAGGTTATTGCAACGACTAAATATATCATCCCCAAATATACATGTGGGTACTGGAGACATGATCACTGTGAGCCACATTTGAGTCAAGACGCCCCTGACCCCTTTAGATCCCACTTTAATGGGGTGACCATTTTGACCCTTTGGGTTTCTATGAGCCAATCAATGTCAATGTTTTATTACTGGTCCAGGTTTCCTCATTTTCTCCTCAAGTAAATGATAGACTATTAAAAAAAAAAAAGAAAACTGTAGTATGTTTAAGCTTATTTATTCTATCTCTAAAATTTGTATCACAGAGAAAATGTCACCTTCTCTTATGTCAAGATGGCTTATAATCCATGTCTCAATCTAATAGATCAACCCTATTTTTAAATTCTTTGACTGTTTTAAAGCAGTGGTGTACTCAAATTTGGTCGTGCCAGTAGCCATGGCAACCACAGACCTCAAAGGCTACCTTTGTGGAAAGTCACTATTAGGACTTGGCAGCCCTCCACCGTGGACCCTCGGCTCACACCCGCTGAGGTGGGAAAGAGGCATCAAACGTGGCCTCCAGTGGTGAGAAGATTGGAGGCACTGGCTGAGTTCTCGCAGGTGTGGAGACCCACAGAAGCCTAACACGGAACAGATTATTGTTTATTTTCTGGTCAATGAAAAGACCCAAACCTAAGTTATATAAAAGGAGAGGATAATGGAAATGGAAAATTTCTAAGAATAAAAAGAAGAAAATTAGTGAAACAATTTGAAACACTTTTCCTAGCTCAAGAAAATGCATTTGATAATTTCCTGAATGTCTCTAAAAGTATGGTTATACATTTTGCTATAATGAAATTTTAAGTCACTTTTAATGAAATTCGATTCACAAACAGCACAATTCACCCACCTTTAGTGTGAAGCTTGGTGAGCTGTAACAAATATAAAGGATAATCACCACCCCACCTGAGATAGAAAACCTTTCTATAACTTCAAAAATTAACTCCTTCCAAAAAAGAGTGGATCTATGTATATGGATAACTGATTCACTTTGCTGTACAGCAGAAACTAACACAACATTATAAATCAACTACACTCCAATAGGGATTAATTTAAAAAAACAATTAACTCCTGCTCCTTTAGAGTCAATCCCTCACCCCCAGGCTCTGGCAGCTACTGATCTCTGTATTTACAGTTTTGCCTTTTTAGAACGTTTTATAAATGACCTGGCTTTTTCCACATACCAAAATGCTTCTGAAATTAACCCTGTTATTCATCAGTAGTTCACTCCATTTTATTGCTCAGCCCTTATTTCTTTAGATCAATATGTCCCAATTTATATATCTCTTTATAAATTGATGGATAGTTGGGTTGTTTCCAGTATGTAGCTATAATGAATGAAGCTGTTATAAACATTCATGTTCAAATCTCTGTGTGGGTATTTTTTACATTTCTGTTGCGTAAATACCTAAGACTATTCAAAGACACTGCACCATTGCACCCCATCAACAACGTAGAAGAGATCCAGCTCTGCACACTCAAGCATTTAATGTTGCCAATTTTTCTTGTTGTTGTTGCTTAATTTTAGCTCTCCTAGTAGCTGTGTATTAGTATCTCATGGTGATTTTAATGTGAGTTTTTCTGATGAAAACTGATGGAAAGAAAGCGCCTTTCTATGTGTTTGCTCTCCAAATCATTTCTTTTTGGTAATGCATCTGTTCAAATATTTTAATGAGTATGTTTAAGTTCTTTATGTATTATTGATACAGTCTCCCATCAGATATGTGTTTACAAACATTTTCTTTCTGGTCTCTGGTTTGTCTTTTTATTTTCTTTTCAGTGTCTTTCAAAGAGCAGGGAGTTAAATTCAATTACCCAGTTTTTAGGGGTTCTGCTTTTTATATATGTTCTATAAAATCTTTGCCTAACCTAAGATCTCAAAAATTTTCTCCTATGTTTTCTTTAATTTTTGAATTTTATTTTTTAATACAGAAGATTCTTATTAGTCATCCATTTTATACACATCAGTGTATACATGTCATTCCCAATCACCCAATTCATAACACCACCATCCCACCCCCCAACTGCTTTCCCCCCTTGGTGTCCATACGTTTGTTCTCTACATCTGTGTCACAACTTCTGCCCTGCAAACTCGTTCATCTGTACCATTTTTCTAGGTTCCACATACATGTGTTAATATACGATGTTTGTTTTTCTCTATCTGACTTACTTCACTCTGTATGACAGTCTCTAGATCCATCCACGTCTCAACAAATGACCCAATTTTGTTCCTTTTTATGGCTGAGTAATATTCCATTCTATATATGTACTACCTCTTCTTTATCCATTCATCTGTTGATGGGCATTTAGGTTGCTTCCATGACCTGGCTATTGTAAATAGTGCTGCTATGAACATTGGTGTGCATGTGTCTTTTTGAATTATGGTTTTCTCTGGGTATATGCCCAGTAGTGGGATTGCTGGATCATATGGTAATTCTATTTTTACTTTTTTAAGGAACCTCCATACTGTTCTCCATAGTGGCTGTATCAATTTACATTCCCACCAGCAGTGCGAGAGGGTTCCCTTTTCTCCACACCCTCTCCAGCATTTGTTGTTTGTAGATTTTCTGATGGTGCCCATTCTAACCAGTGTGAGGTAATACCTCATTGTAGTTTTGATTTGCATTTCTCTAATAGTTAGTGATGTTGAGCAGCTTTTCATGTGCTTCTTGGCCATCTGTATGTCTTCTTTGGAGAAATGTCTATTTAGGTCTTCTGCCCATTTTTGGATTGGGTTGTTTGTTTCTTTAATTTTGAGCTGCATGGGCTTCCCTGGTGGCGCAGTGGTTGAGAGTCCGCCTGCCGATGCAGGGAACGTGGGTTCGTGCCCCGGTCCGGGAAGATCCCACATGCCACGGAGCGGCTAGGCCCGTGAGCCATGGCCGCTGAGCCTGTGCGTCCGGAGCCTGTGCTCCGCAACGGGAGAAGCCACAGCAGTGAGAGGCCCGCGTACCGCAAAAAAAAAAAAAAAAAAAAAAAAAAAATTGAGCTGCATGAGCTGTTTATATATTTTGGAAATTAATCCTTTGTCCATTGATTCGTTTGCAAATATTTTCTCCCATTCTGAGGGTTGTCTTTTTGTCTTGTTTATGGTTTCCTTTGCTGTGCAAAAACTTTTAAGTTTCATTAGTTCCCATTTGTTTATTTTTGTTTTTATTTCCATTACCCTAGGAGGTGGATCAAAAAAGATCTTGCTGTGATTTATGTCAAAGAGTGTTCTTCCTATGTTTTCCTCTAAGAGTTTTATAGTGTCTGGTCTTACATTTAGGTCTCTAATCCATTTTGAGTTTACTTTTGTGTATGGTGTTAGGGAATGTTCTAATTTCATTCTTTTACATGTAGCTGTCCAGTTTTCCCAGCACCACTTATTGAAGAGGCTGTCTTTTCTCCATTGTATATTCTTGCCTCCTTTGTCATAGATTAGTTGACCATAGGTGCGTGGGTTTATCTCTGGGCTTTCTATCTTGTTCCATTGACCTATGTTTCTGTTTTTGTGCCAGTACCATATTGTCTTGATTACTATAGCTTTGTAGTAGAGTCTGAAGTCAGGGAGTCTGATTCCTCCAGCTTCGTTTTTTTCCCTCAAGACTGCTTTGGCTATTTGGGGTCTTTTGTGTCTTGAAAAAAATTTTAAGATTTTTTGTTCTAGTTCTGTAAAAAATGCCATTGGTAATTTGATAGGGATTGCATTGAATCTGTAGATGGCTTTGGGTAGTATAGTCATTTTCACCATATTGATTCTTCCAATCCAAGAACATGGTATATCTCTCCATCTGTTGGTATTATCTTTAATTTCCTTCATCAGTGTCTTATAGTTTTCTGCATACAGGTCTTTTGTCTCCCTAGGTAGTTTTATTCCTAGGTATTTTATTCTTTTTGTTGCAGTGGTAAGTGGGAGTGTTTCCTTAATTTCTCTTTCAGATTTTTCATCATTAATGTTTAGGAATGCAAGAGATTTCTGTGCATTAATTTTGTATCCTGCAACTTTGCCAGATTCATTGATTAGCTCTAGTAGTTTTCTGGTGGCATTTGTAGGATTCTCTATGTATAGTATTATGTCATCTGCAAACAGTGACAGTTTTACATTTCTTTTCCAATTTGTATTCCTTTTATTTATTTATTTATTTATTTATTTATTTATTTATTTATTTTTCTTCTCTGATTGCTGTGATTGCTCTGATTGCTGTGGCTAGGACTTCCAAAACTATGTTGAATAATAGTGGTGAGAGTGGACATCCTTGTCTTGTTCCTGATCTTAGAGGAAATGCTTTCAGTTTTTCACCATTGAGAATGATGTTTGCTGTGGGTTTGTCATATATGGCCTTTATTATGTTGAGGTAGGTTCCCTCTAGGCCCACTTTCTGGAGAGTTTTTATCATAAATCGGTGTTGAATTTTGTCAAAAGCTTTTTCTGCATCTATTGAGATGATCATATGGTTTTTATTCTTCAATTTGTTAATATGGTTATTGATGTTAATCACATTGATTGATTTGCATATATTGAAGAATCCTTGCAACCGTGGGATAAATCCCACTTGATCATGGTGTATGATCCTTTTAATGTGTTGTTGGATTCTATTCGCTAGTATTTCTTCTTGCTTCTGCTGTCTGCCCTCTGGTTGATGAGGCTATCTAAGTGACTTAAGCAAGCTTCCTGATGGGAGGGACTGCTGGTGGGTAGAGCTGGGTGTTGCTCTGGTTGGCAGAGCTCAGTGAAACTTTAATCCACTTGACTGCTGATGGGTGGGGCTGGGTTTCCTCCCTGTTGGTTGTTTGGTCTGAGGCAACCCAACACTCTAGCCTACCTGGGCTCTTTGGTGGGGCTAATGACAGACTCTGGGAGGGCTCATGCCAAGGAGTACTTCCCAGAACTTCTGCTGCCAGTGTCCTTGTCCCCACAGTGAGCCACAGCCACCCACTGCCTCTGCAGGAGACCCTCCAACACTAGCAGGTAAGTCTGGTTCAGTCTCCCTGGGGTCACTGCTCCTTCCCCTGGGTCCCAATGCACACACTACTTTGTGTGTGCCCTCCAAGAGTGAAGTCTCTGTTTCCCCCAGTCCTGTCGAAGTCCTGCAGTCAAATCCCACTAGCCTTCAAAGTATGATTCTCTAGGAATTCCTCCTCCTGTTGCCGGACCCCCAGGTTGGGAAGCCTGACGTGGGGCTCAGAACCTTCACTCCAGTGGGTGGACTTCTGTGGTGTAAGTGTTCTCCAGTCTGTGAGTCACCCACCCAGCAGTTATGGGATTTGATTTTACTGTGATTGGGCCCCTCCTACTGTCTCATTGTGGCTTCTCCTTTGTCTTTGGATGTGGGGTATCTTTTTTGGTGAGGTCCAGTGTCTTCCTGTCGATGACTGTCCAGCAACTAGTTGTGACTCTGGTGCTCTCACAAGAGGGAGTGAGAGCACGTCCTTCTACTGTGCCATCTTGGTTCCTCTCCTCTGTTAGTCATTTTTTATTTATTCATTTTGACTCCATGTTTTTTTTTGCTCTTTTTATCAGACATATTTTTCTACAATGAATGTCTTACATTTTAAACTAGCTCTTTCTTTGACTTCAATTCCAACAAGAATTTTTTTCTGAATACATTTTTTTTGGTACATGAGTTCATTATAAAGTAAAAATAGAAGTTTCTTTCCCTTGGTACATAAAAAAATCAAGTAAGTCTATATCATCTGTTATGATTCAATTAGAATGCAGTCACTCTGTTTCTCTGCATTTTAAAAATTCTTTCTACTCATCTATTTCAAATCTCAATGTTATTTTGAAAGATAATTTATTATGCAGCATTGGTTTCTATGTCTATTTCATCCTCTTGAAGAAGAAGCTTCACTAATCTTCCTTTACCCACCCCTCATTTCCTGTCCCTTGTTGGCTCATGAGGATGTGATCAATTTAGGCATATATTTATGTTATTTCTCATTCACTTCTGGTTTCCATACTGAGGCACTTGAAAAAATCTTACTGAACCAACTAAAACATTTTAAAACTTTTAAAAATTGAGGTGTAACTGACATACAACATTATATTCGTCTCAGGTGTATAACATAATGATTTGATATTGAATATATTGCCAGATGGTGTCCACCATAAGTCTAGTTAACTATCTGTCATCATACATAGTTACAAAGATTTTTTTCTTGTGATGAGATCTTTTAAGATTTACCCTCTTAGAAACTTTCAAATATGCAACACAGTATTATTAACTGTGGTCACTATGCTGTACATTACATCCCCATGGGTTATTTATTTTATAACTGGAAGTTTGTACCTTCTGACTACCTTTACCCATTTATCCCACTTCCTCCCTCCCACCCCCCAATCTGACAACCAGCTAATTGCTCCCTCCTCCCTGTATCTATGGGCTTTGTTCTTTTTGGATTCTCCATACAAGTGAGCTCCTATTATATTTGTCTTTCTCTGTTTTTTTTTTTTTTTTTGCGGTACGCAGGCCTCTCACTGTTGTGGCCTCTCCCATTGCAGAGCACAGGCTCCGGACGCGCAGGCTCAGCGGCCATGGCCCACGGGCCCAGCCGCGGCATGTGGGATCCTCCTGGACCGGGGCACGAACCCGTGTCCCCTGCGTCGGCAGGCAGACTCTCAACCACTGCACCACCAGGGAAGCCCCTTTCTCTGTTTTTACATAGCATAATCCCCACAAGATCCATCCATGTTTTTGCAAATGGCAAGATTTCACTTTTTATGTCTAAATAATATTTCATTATGTATACATATGTGTGTGTGTGTGTATCACATTTATCCATTAATGGACATATAGGTTGTTTCCGTATCTTGGCTATTGTAAATAATGCTTCTGTGAACATAGGAATGCATATATCTTTTCAAGTTAGGTGTTTTTGTTTTCCTTAGATAAATACCCAGAATTGGAATTGCTGTATCATGTGATAGTACTACTTTTAATTGTCGAGGAAACTCCATATGGTTTTCCACAGTGGCTACACCAATTTACATTCCCACCATTAGTGTACAAGGGTTACCTTTTCTCCACATCCCTCCTCACAAACACTTGTTATTTCTTGTCTTTTTCATAATAGTCATTCTAACAGGTGTCAGGTGATATTTCATTGTGATTTTGATTTGCATTTCCTAATGATTTGTGATATTGTTTTTTCACATATCTGTTGGCCTTCTCTATATCTTCTTTGGAAAAATGTCTATTCAGATCTTCTGTCCATTTAAAATCAGATTGTTTGTTTTTTTTATCATTGAGTTGTGTGAGTTCTTTACATATTTTGGATATTAACACTTGATCCAATATAAGATTTGCAAATATTTTCTCCCATTCAGTAGGTTGCCTTTAATTTTGTTGATGGTTTCCTCTGCTGTGCAGAAGCTTTAGTCTGAGGTAGTCCCACTTGTTTATTTTCACTTTTGTTGCCTTTACTTTTAGTGTCAAATCCAAAAATATCATTACCAAGGTGGATGTCAAGAAACTTACTACTTATGTTCTCTTCTAGGAGTTCTATGGTTTCAGGTCTTACATTCAAGTCTTTAATCCATTTTGAGTTAATTTTTGTGTATGGTGTAAAAGATAATGGTCCAACTTCATTCTTTTGCATGTGGCTGTTCGGTTTTCCCAACACCATTTATTGAAGAGACTGTCCTTTCCCCGTTGTATATTCTTGGCTCCTTTCTCATAAATTACTTGACAATATATGTATGGGTTTATTTCTGGGCTGTATTCTGTTCCATCAATCTATGAGTCCAAAACTATTGTTTCTTAAATTTAAGTGGAATTGAGTTGGTTCAGGGGTAGCACTGGTAGTTATTAATCCAGAAAAGGAATTTTGGTGTATTCTGTATAAATGGATCTTAACATGCTCTTAAATAGAGATGAGATGTTTCAGTGTGCTCATTAACTTGAGCCAAAAATTACATGAAGCCTTTCCTCTCATGAGGAGAAAGAGTAAAAAAGTACAAATTGGTTTATTGAAGATGACTAATAATTCTATAGTTAAATTTTCAAATTAAAAAAAAAACCCTACCCTTATTTCTAAGCCGTTAAACTCTTATAAATAAAGAATAAAGTTAATAAATAAAATTATCATATTGACTGATGTCACCAATTTTATTGTTTGTTTTGATTTTATAATTTTTTTTGCAATTTCATATTCCTCCAGTTTGTAGGTTAATTAGAAAGTACTTTGAAACTTCTTTTTTTGTTGTTTGTTTTACTCAGACAGTGTCCTCTTCTCCTTGCTCTCCCAAAGGAAGAGAAGAATGATCATCAGTGGCCAATGGCAGTTGCAGAACCAACACCAAGAACCAGCTTCACACTCAGGAGAGAACAATAAGCTTCTTCCTCAGAGTTTCAAGTGCTCTGCACATTCAGAGAAACTTCTCTCATAATGAACTACAGAAATGATCCCTGAAAACATAATCTTTGAAATTCCTATTTTCGGTGCAGGCAGTTCCTGACTTATGGTGGTTCCACGATTTTTCAACTTTACAATGATACAAAAGCAATATTCATCCAGTGGAAACTGTACTTCAAGTTTTGAATTTTGATCTTTTCCTGGGCTAGTGATTTGCCCTAAGATACTCTCTTGTGATGCTGGGCAGCGGCAGTGCTGCAGCTCCCAGTCAGCCACGCAATCACGAGGATAAACAACTCGTACACTTACAACTATTCTGTGCCCATACGCCCATTCTGTATTTTTCTTTTCCTTACAGTATTCAATAAATTACAGGTGACATTTCAACATTTTAGTACAAAACAGTCTTTGTGTTAGATGATTTTGCCCAACAGTAGGCTAATGTACGTGTTCTGAGTACATTTAAGGGAGGCTGCACTAAGCTGTGATGTACAGTAGGTTAGGTAGATTAATGTGGTTTCAACTTAATATTTTCAACTTATAATGGGCTTATTGAGACTTAATCCACCGTAAACTGAGAAAGATCTGTGTTATACTTCTCTTGAGTCTATATAGGGCAATTGCTACATATGTAGGGTGTACATATAATTTATTTTCTAAATTGGAGCAAAACTGAGAAATAAAAGGTGCACTAGAACCTAGGACAATGCGTGTAATTGTGACTGTCCCCAGCACACCAAAATATCTCATCACCCTATAGACATGTATTGGAGAAGCACATTTCTTTCCACGGTTTTTGTGTCCTGAAGGGAAAGAAATTTCCAGAATAGTATGGTAGAAACACTTTTATCTTTTCTCTGCCTCTTCCCTTATCCCTCCCCAGAAGAGGAGGAGATTCATGAGTCTGGGAGAAAACTGAGCATGTAATCTCCAAGTACAACCACTGCCAAAGCAACCAATGTAATACTTGATACTTCCAAAAATAAAGATTTTCCCAGATGCTTGCTGCAGAAGGTTCTGATATTATATAAAATGATAAATGTTTGCTTGATAATTCTAATTTTCAATATCCATGTGGAGTTTTGAAAAATTAAATTGAAAAATATCTCTCTCTTCACTACAACTCCCTCTACTGTAAATCTTTTCAAAGTCTTCAGGTAGAAACTTCTTTTTAAAGGAAAGCTTTCTTCTCATTTTTACGTATCATCAAAAGATGCCTTCTCTGTTTCTGAGAATCCTCTGTTTAATAAAATTTAAATTTAGCTTTTGCCTTTTTGCACTCATTAAGGGTGCAAATCAAGTTCAACCTACTTTATTTTGTGTATTCTTGAGCTACATTTATTATTAATCTAAAATTTAAAATCTAACCCAAATTGTGGAGCCCAAGTTGGGAAGGTTTTGTTTTTGTTTTTCATCTTTTAAAGACTTCCCTACAAAAGAGTGCCAATGAGTATATGTCACTTTTGAGCAGCCTATAAATCTTTCCATGGTATTGAATCTTTAATTTTAAAGACAGAAACAAAAGATACTAAAAGCAAAGCTAAACATTAACAAATGCCTATTTTCAACTGCTTGAAAAAATAAGATGGCTTAATAAATAAAAAAGAAAGATGCAGGGCTTCCCTGGTGGCGCAGTGGTTGAGAGTCTGACTGCCGATGCGGGGCGCGGGTTCGTGCCCTGGTCCGGGAGGATCCCACGTGCCGCGGAGCGGCTGGGCCTGTGAGCCATGGCCTCTGAGCCTGCGTGTCCAGAGTCTGTGCTCCGCAGCGGGAGAGGCCACAACAGTGAGAGGCCCACGTACCACACACACACACAGACACACAGACACACACACACACACACACACACACACACACACACAAAGAAAGATGCAGTACTGTTCCAAATATATCTTTTAGATTATGAAATATCTACAGTCATATACTACTGTATCAGCTAGCATTACCCGTATCTCTTAAATCCACTAGTATTTCAGGACTAAAAGACATCAAGCTCCTGATTATCTACTATGACTCTAAATATAGTGTCAGTTTGTTCTTTTACCTCTTCAGGAGTAAATTCAGTTGAGTATATGGGAGTCAAGAGGCCTGAACCATCCAGGCATCTTTTTTTGAGACGGAATCCTCTCTTTACTCTAGCTGAAGGATCCCTAGGGAGAGACATCAAGAGGACACAGAGACTGCACTTGAGTCTGAGGAAGAATGCTGCCTTCACTAAGTGGATTCACTCATAAAACCCATAACTGTCTTGAAACTGCTATACTGAAGGTCATTAGTCAGCATCTGATTGCCTCAGCAAGTTGTCTTTTCTTGGTTCTCATCTTGCACAGCTCATTACCTTCTTTAAATGCTTGTGGACTCTTATCCTTGGGTACACTGTCCTGACTTCCCTTTTCTCTCGTGGCTTTTGTTTTTTCCTTCTGTTAGTGGATATTTTCTCTCCTTCTTCAATTTTGAGGTGATTTCCAAAATCTTCTTGTCTCACCTTTTGCCTGTAGATATTTTCTTCCTTTGTGTCAACCGCCTCCTCAACAAAGAAGATTCCCACTTCTATACTTCTAGAAAAATTCCTAACTTCCTGCTAGACTTCTCCACCTCGAGCTATCTACACCTCGCAAAGCAGCGTGTGTTACCATTTGCGCAGGCCCTTTGTCTCTCTTCCTCTGCGGTTTTCTTCCTGCTCTTCCCTCCATCTGGAGCCCCTTTGCAAATTCAACCTGTTCAAATCCTGCTTAAGTTCAAGCCTCAAATACACTTCCAGCTCAAAGCTTATCAAGACTTCTTTTCACCACATTTGATATCTTCACGTTTTGAACTCAGGTGGCACTCTGGGTTGTCTAACCTACAGAAATGATTCAACTTTGTATAATTTGTTGGTTATTTATATACCCTTATGCTGTAATTCATAATTTACTCGTACTATACTATATACATGTTAAGAAAATGTAGCTTTCCCCCGCTATAGCCAGGCTGATTACCTTCACAAGCCACCACCCACCTGATGTGAATAAAGCACAGTAGTAAATGGCATATATGACATGACAATTTTTTCCTAAAGAAACATGTGATGAGTGTGGTTATTCACATATTTTTCCTGACTTTACCCACCATTGAGGATAAGTGGTTCACATGTGTAATAATACACAAACTCCAGTGTCTGAGACCCCTCATGTGGCTATACAATACTTTACTCTGTCCCCGCCAATTTGTACCTTGAGGAGTCCTAGAGGAAGGGAGAAGAAAGATCCTGATTTAATCAGCACGTTGCATTCCTTCTGCTCCAGTGTCCTTTGCTCAGACTTTATGACCCCTTGTCACAGTTCACTCAAGGGGTTTGTCCCACCCGTTTTCTGTGTGGCTACCAATCTACTCCACTCCTCCAAAGAGCGATCTTCTTATCTCTCCCCAGATATCTGAGAAGCTTGCTATTTTAATTCCACGGGGAAATTATAGGTCCCTGTGGCAGTAGGAATCACAGTGCTTTCTTCTATATCATTGTTCTCTTTTATTCAGAGCAGTCAAGCTCTTGAAGGGAGGAGAAAAAGAGGGGTCAGAAGATGGTCAAGCCCAGTATCACACTGTACTTGTACCTGTTCCCTCCAATCTTTGGGTGCTGGACCTCAATCTACCTACCCTTCAAGAATACTATACTCTTCTTGTACCCGCTCCAGCCGAATCTCTTTCGGGGAGCCTGAGTTCATCTGACAGATCTTACAAATTGGAAACCTATCTGCAGGGAAGATTCATATTTTCTCCCACAGTCCTAGACTCAGTGAAGATCAGAAAATATGTCTGGACTCCTGTTCCAGTGTCCTTGAGGTCATTAGACTGACGTGGCTCTAATGCCATGGCAATCTGTGTAAGTAAGCAAACCAAAGTCTAAGTCTGTATTTTATAAGCTTTATAGAAAATTTTTTACTCCTTTGTTATTTTTTGTAGGGGAATTTAAATAATTTGAATTTGACCTGACATCATTTTATTACAAATTGGAAATATGGGTGAATTTGAACAAATGCTCTATGGAGTCAAATCTGCTTTAATCATTATTTCCTTTCTTTTTCTTTTTAGAAAACTACTATGGCTCTCTCTGAGAAAATCAAAACCGTAAGTAACCTGCAGGTAAAAAATAAATCTATTGATGCCATGTGGCTTCTACAGGGCTCCAACTTTCATGCAAACAAGACATGCCTTGAGAGAAAATTTCACCTATGTCTGGAATGCCCCACAGCACATTGTAAGAGGCTCTATGATGTTATTATAAACCTTTGTTGGTTTAAAGTTGTTGTAAACCGCAGTGTGATTTTTTACTGGATCCTAAGTTAATTAAGTGTTATCATAATGAACTTAGTGGTTGTTGATTTCATCATATGTAAAAAACATATCTATCTGGGAGACGTCACAAAGTTTACTGTCATTGAGTGGAAAGAATGAAATCCCCAATTACATATGAATTTGGAGATATATATAGACATATATATCTGTATATATGTCTCTATACACACACCACACACACACACACGTGTATGTTTAGAACCATGTTAATTGGTTCACTTTTTAGTTGAAGAACATGCATAACAAAAAGCTAAACCACATCTTTTTCACCTTTGGCACTGTCCTGGGCAGAATTGAAAGTGAGGCCCACAGAACTCTGAATGCTATTGGCAAAATGATGTCCCTTTCCCAATACTTCTCACTACAGAATATCTAAGATACCAATGACAAGTAGGAGGCTGTAATTGGAACTGATGACTTACCTCCCTTTAGGACTCCATCAGAATGCATTCCATCATGCCTTTAACACATAAAGCCCAAACTCCCAGGTTATTTGTATCACTTGTATTTTCCTCTATACCCTGTCATGGAGCCAAATTCACATCCCTCCCTGACCTGACAAACCTGTCCATTATATCCTCTGTAATTTAAAATCTGTAGTCAAGAAAATCCCCTAGATCATACATCTCTTTTTCTGAATGGTCACTTAACTTTCTTGATATAACAGAAAACTGGCAGTCTTCTGCTTCCCCTGCAGCATTCTTTTTAAGTTTATTCTTTAATTATGGTAAAGTAAACATACAATCAACTTACCATTTTAATGATTTTTCAAATGTACAGTTCAGTGATATTAAGTACATTCACATTGTTGTACAATCACCTCCACTGTCTACCTCCTGGACTTGTTTCCCTGAAGCCCTCTTGATTGATGGTTATTTTCTCTCTCACCTGTCACCTCCCATTGGACAGGGAAGGAGCAGGTGTCCCCTCATTACTGTTTGGGACCATTGCCCTTCCATTCGCTACTTATTGGACAACCCCAATTTACTGAAGCGTATGGCATCAGTTTAAACTGAACATCAGGCCAAACCTCTCAGAGCTGCATCATCCACAGATCGCTAGTTGCAATGACCAGATTTTAGCACTTTGGTCACTCGATATAGAGTTAAATTCAAAGTTCAATTTAAAAAAGTTAATATTTTTCTTTTTTCTTTGGCTTAAATCCTTTGGGAACATATCTGTCATGAGAGAAGGGAGGTATGTTTTGCTTCTTCTCCATTGTCTTTCTTCCAAATACTAGGCTGCTGCTGGCTCCTTCAGGGTGGAAGAGGGGATGGAGTGGCTTCAGGGAGAAGCAGGAAATGTTTACTTGAGACGTATCAATCTGTAATTGAATCTTTAAACCTGACTTTTGTCTTATGAGGGCTTTCATGGCAAAACAAGAGAAAAAGTTAAAAGACGATGAGAAACTGGGAAATACTTCATGCTATTTAATGGAACTACATAATATATTTCATAATATATTTAACAAACTCCACATATGTATGTTGTTTCTAGCTTTTCTCTATTGGAAATATAGCTCCCATGAACACAATTTTGTCAATGTTTTCCCATTTAAATCGATTTTATTTTTTAAAGAATTTTTAAGTTCACAGCAAAACTAAGCAGAAAGAGTTTTCCTACCCCTCCCCACCCCGTCTCCACACATGCACAGCCGCCCCTGCTGTCAGTATCCCGCATCAGAACGGTACATTACAGTCGGTGAACGTAGAGCGATGCATCATCATCATCACCCAAAGTCTACAGTCCACATTAGGGTTAACTCTTGATGTTGTACATTCTACAACATCAGGGTTTTGAAAAATGACATGAATCCACGATTGTCGTATCATATAGAATAGTTTCACTGCCCTAGAAGTCCATGGATTTTTTTTTTTTTTCCGGTACGCGGGCCTCTCACTGTTGTGGCCTCTCCCGTTGTGGAGCAAGGCTCCGGACGCGCAGGCTCAGCGGCCATGGCTCACGGGCCTAGCCACTCCGCAGCATGTGGGATCTTCCCGGACCAGGGCACGAACCCGTGTCCCCTGCATCGGCAGGCGGACTCTCAACCACTATGCCACCAGGGAAGCCCCACTGATTTTTTTTTTTTTACTGTCTCCGTTGCCTTTTCCAGCAGATTATATACTGAGAATACTTTTCAGATTGGTTTGTTTCACTTAGTAATATGCACTTCATGGCTTGATAGCACATTTCTTTTCAAGGCTGAATAATATGCCATTGTCTGAATGTACCACAGTTTATTCATCCATTCACCTATTGAAGGGCCTCTTAGCGGCTTCCAACTTTTGGCAGTTATGATTAAAGCTGCATCCTTGTGCAGGTTTTTGTGTGGACATAAGTTTTTAAGTAATTTGGGTAAATACCAAGGAGCAAAATTTCTCTATCAAATTGTAAGAGTATATTTAGTGTTGTAAAAAACTGGCAAACTGTCTTCCAAATTAGCTGTTGCATTTTGCATATCTTCTTTAGGGAGGTATCTATTCAGATCTTTTCCCTTTTAAAATCAGGTTGTTGGGTTTTAAGAGTTTTTGGTAGATTTTGGATAATAATCTTTTATTAGATATGCTTTTTGCAAATATTCTCTCCCAGTCTTCAGTTTGTCTTTTCATTCTCTTGATATCATCTTTCACAGAGCAGAAGTCTTTAATTTTCCCAAAGTCCAGCTGTTCATTCAATACGTTTAGGAGGAAAAGAAACATAGCACCATGACAAAAAGTTGGAGGATCTCAGAGGTCTCTAGCCCGCCTCTCACTCAGACATGGCTCTTTTCTTACCTGTTTTAGCACTTTTTGATGGGGCTCTCCCCATTCCAGAAGGAAAACTGCCCTATGGGGACAGTATTAATCCCTGGAAAGTTCTTGAGTATGTTGAGCCTACTCTGCTTCTGGATAACTTCATACCACTACTAGTTCTAATTCTAACTTCTCGTGCAACACAGAATAAATCAAATCCTTATTTCAAAAGTCAGTTCCCCAGGTATTTGAAGACACCAGTCATGCCTACCAAAGTCTTCTCAATAAGTTATTCCTCAAGTAACAGATCTCTCAAATCATGTCACTTTTCTCAAATCCTTTTGGGAAAAAGACTAGGTTATATTTATTCATTCAAAAACTATTTATTGAGTTGCTACAGTGTGTCAGATAAAATATGTTATTAATAATATTGAGTAGAAAATAATAATAATCCATGCAGATAGTTTGTCTTGATAGAAAATGAGAGAATGAGATGAGCCATATTTTAATGAAAGTCTTTTTCATAACTTTCCCATTTTTTGGTACTTTTTGATTTTGGAAGTAAATTATGGGCTAAATAAATGAGCTCTACTTCAGAAGACTAAAACTCTAGTATTACCTGAGTAATAGTATATTGAAGTGTTTTAATACTATCTTGTTGCTTTCCATTTATCACATATCAACAAACAGTTTGGATATTTCTCATTTATTGTCTAAATAACATTTATTATGTTATCATAATATCATTATGTTCTTCATATTATAAGTACAAAATCACTTAAAACCAACTCTGCTGAATATTTTCTTTCCAGTGTCTCAATTTAACTGAGAGACTTGATTTTCATTTAATGAACAGAATACTAGTTAGTATAATGGAAGAATGATCTTCTTTCTTGTTTCATTACTTAGACAAATTGTGAAACACAAGTACTAGTGTTAGTAGAGACTTCATACAATGCAGAGGAGCTTTGCTGTAGCATGGCCACTTTCTCATTCTGGCTTTTGAACACTTTGCCTTTCTACTGGATCTCTGATTCTCCACTCCTTGTAGGGAAGGAAAGAATGCAGATGGTCCGTCAATCATTCCCTCTGTCTTTCATCTCTCCCTATTTCCTGCTTCTTTACTCTTGGTCTATAATCATGAATGTAACCTTCTCTCTTTCTCATCTTGGTGAATTATAATCTACTTAGTCACCCAACTTGAGAGTCACTTGGCTGCCTCCCCTCTTTTTCTATTACCCAGTAGGTAACTAAAACTTATCCATCTTAATTTCCAAATAACTGTTCAGTCTGTCTCCTCTGCTTTACAAGGACTGACCTTGCCTTTGTTGAGGCCCTCATCATTTCTCACTGAATAGTTTCCATCATCTCCTATTTGGGATCCCTGCCTGCCATCTTGACTTCCCCCTCCAATATGATTTTTTGTGACAGCCAAAAATACCTATCAGAGTTGCAAATGGGGACTTCCCGGGTGGCGCAGTGGTTAAGAATCTGCCTGCCAATGCAGGGGACATGGGTTCCATCCCTGATCTGGGAAGATCCCACATGCTGAGGAGCAACTAAGCCCGTGCGCCACAACTACTGAGCCTGTGCTCTAGAGCCCACGAGCCACAACTACTGAACCCATGCACCACAACTACTGAAGCCCACACACCTAGAGCCTGTGCTCCACAACAAGAGAAGCCACCACAATGAGAAGCTCACGCACCACAATGAAGAGTAGCCTCTGCTCGCCACAACTAGAGAAAGCCTGGGTGCAGCAACGAAGACCCAACACAGCCAAAAATAAATAAATAAAATAAAATAAATAAATTTATTTTTAAAAAGTTGCAAATATGTGGTCTTCCAGTACTAAAACTTTCTTGTAGTTAAACCCTAGGACTTTAAAATAGCGTAATAAAATAAAATAGCATAAAAGACACTTGGATCCTACTTATATACAATGATTCAGATGCCTTTACTTCTCCCCAAGTCCCCTGTGCTTTTTACCGTAAGAGTTACTGGCACTTCTCTGGATGGATCATGCTTTTTCATACATATGAGCCTCTGCCATTTTTCTTCCTTCTGGATATAAAACTCTGCTCTCTCTAGTCTATTTTATCAATTTATACTCATTTCCAAAGACCCTTCTAAAATTTCACCTCTTGAAGGAAGTCTTCCCAGACTTTTCCATGCAGCATTAAGCACTTCCTCTAATCTATATATATCTTGTTGGTGCTAATATGTAATTTAATTTGTTACGCTGTAGTTATATATGTCTGTCTCAATCATCACAGTAAAGCACTCCCTCAAGAACAGGAACTGGAATCTATTTCATTTTTATATTCCTAGTGTCTAGAATATTGCCTGGAGCATCATAAATATTTATCAGGTCAGTATCCCAGGCAGAATTACCCTTTCCAATTCTGCTCTATAGTCCTTTGTTTTAGACGCAAAGATAACATTATCAATGTGCTCTTTACCACAGTTGATGGATTGAGACTTACTGAATTGTCAATGACTAAATATGGTTGGCACAAACCGCTTGTGATCCTTCTCTTTTCTAGGAGGACTTAGTACATGCAGTTGGTGAGAGTGCAGCATTGGGGACGGCAGGAATAATATTGTGGGGAGGATATGAATATTCTGATTCAAAGGTAAGCAGTGATTACTCCATCAGCATCTTGGGGGTCTTCTAGATATTGATTTTTTTTTAATTTTTCAGGTTGGAGACAAACATTTGCAGATTATCTACTCACTTGACTTTAATAAAGCACAAAGAGGACAGGCACTCACATTGAGCACTTACTCTGTACCAGCCACTGTTGCTGGTAGTAGCATAGAAAGGGCACAAGTTTTCCAATCAGACAACCCTAAGTGAGAATTCAAATTTTGCATTCTAGGGGTGTAATCTTGGACAAGTTAATTAACCTCTCTGAGACTCCATTTCTCCATCTAAAAAAAAGGATTGAAATAAAACCTATTTTGCCAGAATTTTGGTAGATTAAATGATGTAATATATATGTGGCAAAGAAAGAATACTAAACTTTAAAAATAAATATTTTTTCATCCACATGGAGGATGGATTCTCCAAAAGTGATTCTTTATTTTCTGATTATCTATGATAGAAATGCTCATGGGAGGAAAAATATATTTATATAAACTTTATTAACAATCTACTCTTGATAGAAATGCTCACATGGAATAACTCTATTATTTTTCCACAGCTGACTTTGGACATGTTCAGTTGGTGGCCTGTCACACTACCTAAGTGAAAATTCTGAAACCACAGTTTTTCCTCACTTCTAGGTATTAACACATAGTTCAATTTTCAGGTATTAAAACATCCAGTCTCATAAAATATAAAAACAGCCACGTCTTTCTCGTTCAGCATTGCACGAGTCAGCGTGGTGGGGTTAGTAAGAGCAGGAGGGTTGAATTGCTTGGGTTCCAGTGTTCACTTTTTGCTACCTACTAGCCATTTGACCTTGAGCAAATCTCTACAATTTCTTTATCTGTAAAATGGGGCAAATAATAGTATCTATCTCATAGGGCTGATATGAGAATGACATTATTCATACACGTAAAGCACTTAAAACAGTACCTGGCACATGGTAAGTGCCATATAGGTGGTGGTTGTTATTCTCCAGGTTAAAACTTCTTGCTTCTCCTCCTCACACCCCAAGCCTGGGTCTCAGTTATGGGGAAGAGGAGCACCATCAGTTTCGTTGCTCATTTGCTTCAAGGATGGGTGAGACTAGGGTGGAGAGGAGACAGCTGGGCAAGGTACTTTTTATTTATTTGGTGACGTTTATAATTGTTGTTGTCTCTTGAAGACCTTTGCACGTGGCTGCCATGTAGGGTCTGGCTCCTTCTTGCATGAGGGGCCCTTGAGATTTGGTTAGGGACACTCCCAACACCCACAAAACTTGCACCTCCAAGCTTTTGCTCCTGAGGCATTGGAAAGAGGGAGCTGGCATATGCTGAGATGGGGAAGGCTGTCAGAGCAGCAGGCTGGGAAGAGGATCAGGAGATCAGATTGGAGTAGGTTAAGGTTGAACTGTTTGTGAGACATCCAGGTGGAGATGTCAAACAGGCAGGTGGGTGTACAGTCAGTCAGGGATAAAGTGTGGGAAATACACATTTGGGAGTTCTGTTTAAGGCAGTGAGATGGGATGAGTTTATCCAGAGAGAGTATAGCTGGAGAAGAGAAGGGGTCCAAGAACTAAGCCTAGGGCACTCCAGGGTTAAGAGGTAGGGAAGCTGAGCAAGAGCTAGTAAAGGAGATTAAGGAGCATTCAGTGAGATAAGGAAAAACCAGGAGAGTGTGACATCCTGGAAGATGAGTGAAGAAGGAATTTCAAGGAAGAGGACTGGGACAGAACAGGGGATGCCCCAGTTGAACTTGATTGGGTTTACCTGTGTTCTATGCTCTCTTTGATTACAGTCTCCCCCCAATCTTTTCTTTTCTTCCTCCTCCCTCCCCCTTCTTTCTTTCTTCCTTCCTTTCTTTCTTTTTCTTTCTTTCTTTCTTTCTTTCTTTCTTCCTTCCTTCCTTCCTTCCTTCCCTCCTTCCTTCTTTTCTTTTTTCTTTCTTTCTTTCTTTCTTCCTTCCTTCCTTCCTTCTTTCTTCTTTTTCTTTCTTTCTTTCTTTCTTCCTTCCTTCCTTCCTTTCTTTTTCCTTCTTTCTTCCTTCCTTCCTTCCTTTCTTTCTTTCTCTCTCTCTCTCTCTCTCTTTCCCTTCCTTCCTTCCTCCCCCTTTCCTCCCCCCACTTTCTTTCTTTTTCTTCCTTTCTTTTTTATTTTATGGTTTCCTGGTTTTATTTTTTTCCATCTGTCCTAGAAACCTCCTCAGATGCCTCAGATAAGGAGTCTTGTCCTGACTAAAAATGACATTTTTTCCTAAATATAGTATGAAGCTGGCCTAGACTGAATGTGCCTTGAACAAAAATATTACACACAGGATTTTCAGAACTTGTAATTGCCCAAGTGATCCTTGTTCAACTGCCTGCCATTAGGTGCTTTATTCTGCCTTATGACTTTGCATTTGAACCCCTAAATCCTTATTAGATGGATTCACATTTCCGGGGCCTCTTCTCCCAGAGAAACTATCCCACTGTTTTAAATTAATTGGAGTTTTTTATACAAAATAACTGACGCGCTAGTTGAAAACACACTTGATGTTTATTGAATCTACTAGGATTTTCCCATGGTCCTTCCTTTATGGATCAAGGCAGGCATTGATGAAGATTCTAGCCAGATTATTCTGGGTTAGCTGATGATGTCGTTTCAATTAGGCTAGCCCATTCTAGCCGCACAGTGTGATCATCCATAGGTGGAAATATGTCCTAGTGTTAAAGCCCAAAACTGTGGACACATCAATGGCACCCAACCGTAGACTTGTGGGAAGACAACCTTACTTTCTATATGCTATACAAGTGACTTAGGTATTTGGTTGTAAATAATGATCTTTTATAGACTCTCCTACAACCCAACTGATGAATAAATAATGGATGATATATTTATACTATGAAACTGAATCACTGCTAAATTTTTTTATTAAAAAGGGCTACATGTATTAACATGGGGGAAAAAAATCTCAAGAATGTTGTTTGAGAAGCAAGTTGTATAAAATAAAATATCCCAAATAATATAAATTTATATAAAAATTTAAAAACACACTGGGACTTCCCTGGTGGTGCAGTGGTTGGGAATCCACCTGCCAATGTAGGGGACACAGGTTCGATCCCTGGTCTGGGAGGATTGCACCTGCCGCGGAGCAACTGAGCAACTAAGCCTGTGCGCCACAACTACTGAGCCTGCGCTCTAGAGCCCGTGAGCCACAACTACTGGGCCCACGTGCCACAACTACGGAAGCCTGCGTGCCTAGAGCCCGTGCTCTGCAGCAAGAGAGGCCACCACAATGAGAGGCCCACACACCGCAGTGAGCAGTGGCCTCCGCTCGTCACAGCACGGGGGAGCCCATGCGCGGAGGCGAAGACCCAACACAGACAAAAATAAATAAATTAATGAATTAATTAAAGAAAAAAGAAAAGTAGAAAAAAATTAAAAACACAAAATAATATTACATATTGTTTATAATTACATTTATATGTAGTAAAGTTATAAAAAGATGGATGCAAGGACTACGCCCCGCCCCCAACTTCAGGAGGACGGTTATCTCTGCAGAGGTAAGAAGAGGAGTGGGAGAACTTGGCAGTCTTAGAAAAATCTGACCTGATATTAACATAGATGAAGTATCAGTATCAAAATTGTTTCACAATTAAATTTAAATTTAAAAAAACCCACGTTAATGATTTTCTTTGTAAAGCGTTACTACAAATATCTCTTTAAGGATAGTCTCTAGTGGAAAAATGTGGAATCATCTTCCCCCGAAAATGGTTTGAAATTGGTTCGTTAGTGTATTCCTAATCAAAGGCATGGATCATCACTTACGGGACTTTATAAGGACTTAGTCTATCATTTAAATGATTAATCACTGAAACGCTCTTTCTTCCCAGCCTTACCAGATATAAAATTCAGGTATTAATAAATAACACCTGGATAATGGAATCACATTATGAAAGTGATCTAAATAGATCTCTGTTTTTCCTACAGGAGACCTGCTTGTCTGTGCAAAAATTCATTCAAGGGCCATTGGACAGTTATGCTGTTAATGTGACAACAGCAGCCAAACTCTGCAAAGTCTATGTCACAATAATGGAAGATGTGTTCGAAAAGCACCTGAATCCTCCTCCTATCTGCATATGCCTGAAAGTAGCAGTAAGAAATATGCCCTAAGAGCTTGAGAGTCATCATTTCTCCAGCCAATAAACTGAAGACGATAAAGGACATGAAGGATGGGCTTGTGTGTCACTGCTGTCATGGCTGGCATGGAGAGTCTTGCCAGCAACGTTCTTCGGATGTCCTGAGAGGGAAGGATAAGCCTCCTATGGCTAACTTTAAATTATCGGTTTCTCTGCATGACCTTCTCTGCGATTCTGTTGATTTTTTTTACCCCCTACGACAACGTCAATATTTCCTTGAAATACTGAAGGGTAGGAGATGCTGATTTTTTTTCTTTAACTTCAATCTACTTCTAAAATATCTGTTGGCTTTAAAGTAAAATAAATAAATAAATAAAGGTATTCATTGGCTCCATAGAGCCATTAGATAGAGCAATTATTTATTGGGTACTTACTTCATGCGAGGCACTAAGGATAAGGATGTGAATGTACCGAAGTCTCTGTCCTTGGGGAGCTTAAATTATTGTGGGAAAATGAACTATAATAAATAAACAAATACGTTTATATCAAATGGTGCTAAGTGCAGTGGAGGCTAACAAAGCAGGGTAAAGGGATTAGGGAGTGTGGGAGAGCTCTGGAAATTACATCTAAGGTCGTGAAATGTGGCTGCCTAATGAGAGGACCTGAAGGCAGGAGGCACAGATCACAGATGTGTCTGAGAAGAGCATTCTTGGATTAGGGAAGAGCAAATGCAAAAGTCGTTAAGTGGGAGCAGGTTTGGAGGGTTTCAGGGCCTCAAGAAGGCCACTGTGGCTGATGCAGGATGAAGAGTGAGCCAGGTCATTAACTGACTCTATTTGAACTAAGAGTTTGAGTGAAGGTAACTTTAAAAAAAGAAGAGAAATTTCTGGAAGAAAATGGGTCAAGTAAGATGTTATCTACATTTTATTATTTTTTAAAAAAATAAATATACACTTAAATTGGACAGCAACAGGAGCATCTATTATGATTAGATGTTGCTACGATAGTTTTGAGACTCTGATTGCTAATAGCAAATTGAGAAATTGGTAATAAAGTCATGTGAGATATGGAACGTACAATAACATGGGAGCTACAGAAGGCGACCATTGTGTTATAGCTGTTTCTGTTCCAACAATTGGGAAATCCTACATGATACAAGTGACCCCAGGATACCAAGTCATGGGGCAAGAGGGAATCTATACTGAGTGCTGTAGGGCTCAATTTAATCCAAAGTATCTCTAGGGCTCTTAGAAATTCATTTGGCAATCATCAGTATCAGAAGGTAAGCCCTATTAGACTCCCATAAATGGAATTTGTATAGGAAATTCTTTGATGTGATACCTGCTGGTTTATTAAAGTGTACTGTATCGAAGCAATTTCCTTTGAGTCTTGAATGCATGGCAAGTCATTTGAAAAATTCATATGACGACTTGATCTGACCTAGTTGTAATCCAGATCATTTTCTTTCATAAAGATTCAAAAGAAATTATACTATCTCAAATACCGTTTCCCTCCCTAGTTTAGGGAAGATGTTTTCCTGCCTGAAACTTTCCAAATATTAGACTTTTCTTGGTACTTTATCCAGCCATATAGAACGTTGATAGGTAGATCACACTCAGCTTCAAACTTCATTTGTTTGTCTATTTTCTCATTTTCAGGAGAAGTAACTTTAAAGAGGCAGTGAAATATAGTAAGCTAAATTGGGGGCTCTTTGTAAGTTCCCCTATTTTGTTGGTATCCTGCTGCACCAAGACTGCAATTACAGTAATTCGATTCTCGTGCCCAAGCAAGAAATGTTTCTACAACTGTTAAAAAGTTGGTGCTAAGCCATGATAAGTGAAAAAGAATAGCTCCTTCTATCCTTACAGTAATAAGTTTTTCAACGATTATTATACGAGTTTCGATATGCAGTGGATTCCAGTAAGGCAGGCAAAGGCAAATATTAATACATATTATCACCATTTTGAAGATAAAGAAAATAAGATACAGAGATATTGAGAGGTATAGCCAATTTTACCCACTAATCAGTGAATATATAAAGGATGGCATACACATCACTGCTTTCCACTGTTTAAACTAACATGCCTCCAAAATAGTCAAGGCATAAGAAGGATTAAGGTAGATGAAAGAAAAAGGGAAAACGTATGGAAAAGACATAGAAGAAAATAGGACCCCCCAATTCTATTCCCCACAAATAATCATTTAACTTTTTCTAAATAAAAAACGTTATATTTTATTTCACTTAAATTTAATAGCAAGCAAAAGAAACGTTTTAAAACCAAAGGATGCCACATTTCTAACAACAGATACTTCAAAAATTTTGGCTTGTTAAAAAAAATCTGCTCAGGTTAAAAACAGATTATGAAAAGCATTGAATTTTTGTTATTTATTTTGACTTGCATAACTTTGGGTTTCCAGACCATAGTGCTTAGTAAACTGTCTCATAAAAACTCATCAATTATGTCTAATCCAAAGACAAACACATACATCTCTATTTTTCTTAAATAAAAGATCGAAATTTAAACTCCATTACTATGTTTATGATAATTCTCCAAGAGACATTAATAAAGGATACACTGTAATCAAAATATCTTATAAATACTACAAACCACTTTAGTAAATGAAACATACCTTGTAAGATGATTGGTAATACCTGTTAGAAACCCTGAGAGTGCCCATCTCGCTCCCGAATTACCTGAACAATGATACTTTGTCTGTTGTCTAGGGCAGTGCTCTTTCTTACCTCCCATTAATTGTTAAAAAAAATCACAGTACCCTTTATTGGACACAAACTTTTTGATGAGATACTTGCTTTCTTCCAGTCTTGTAATTGTTCCACACCATTAACTTTTAAATCAGAAAGAATGTATGTCTTCATCTCAGTAGCAGTATGTCATACTTTCTGGTCCTTAGTAAATTCATGTCATTGTGTTTATCTGTATATTGGAGATATTCTTTACAAAGCCGCCTAGCTTTCTCTCCTAATTCAAACTCCCATCTTCAGCTCAGGATAATTTTCTTTGATTATTTTTCATTCTCTCTGTTCATTTAAGAAATTACTATGAGATGGATCTTAGCACTTCTAGATCTATACTCAGTGTTGCTTTTCTTTCATGTATTCTAAGCCTTTGTCTTTTTTGTTTTGTATTATGGATTTGCCCACTTTTTCTTCTGGAATGCTAGTCTAGTCTTCACAATATTCTGACACTCGTATTTTTAATTCCAAAGAATTCTTTTCTTGTGTGTGTATGTGATCCTTGGCTATCCATTTATATTTATGGGGGAACAGAGTGATTGCAAACCGTCATAGGGATCCCCCAACCCCTGCCAGCCCCCTGCCTTTGTTTGGGTATATTTACTCAACAGGACTCTATGTTGAATGGGAGAATGGGCTGTAGACTGTGAAAGGGGCTGAGGCACGCTGACAAGTAAGATTCCATCTGGGGCATGTGAGCAGAAAACAGGCAGGTTGGTAGGAACACTCACAATCATCAGAGTAAGGAGAAAATTACCTTGGAAGAGGAGTGTAATTCCCTCGAGGGCTGAGAAACCTTTTTATGCCCTCTGTGCCCACTGGGGAGACCCAACTATACCCAGCTCAGCACTGCTCTTGTATTGGGTCTCACAGACACTCTGAACCCTACCTGGGAAGGTCTTTCTCTATATTTCAGCGTCCTGGCGTCACATGGCTCTCTTACTTGTCGTGCTCCATACTCTGGGAAGTTGAATGGTCTGACTGGTTCTGCTATACTGGAGTCAATATTTTAACTGATTGCTCAGATAATTGGTTCCCCATGCACTTGCATTTTTTGGAGCTGTTGTCGCTGCACCTAAGGTTTATTTCTCCAGTGGAAGGGACAGTTCATACCTCTAAAGTAAATTTCTACTGTTAAAAATTTCTGATTCAATTCAATCTATTTTCGATCTTTGAGTCATGTCACCTCTTCTTGTTTTCAGCTTTATACTGTACTTTTTCTAAGGACATGTACTGCAGATGACACAGTAAATACATGATCTCAATTTATCATCTTGAACCAGTGGTTCTAGTAGATTAATGTATTTACTCAGTATGATAACTAAAACGCTACTAAGAGTTAATTATTCCATTATCATCAAGGATAGCACATCCTAGGAAATCTTTCCAATGTATGGTTATTTTTACCTCTATTCTCCAACTAAAGTCTCAATCAAAGTTTTCTTTCTTCCTTCTTAGGTCAGTGAATTTAAATTGGGTATTTTCAGAAACAATGGTCACTTATACCAATGTGCTTTTAAGAGAGTCTGACTTTGGTTATAAAGAGATGTAATGCCAGCCTCTAGTTTAACTTGGAGGACTGAGTCACCTCTGTAATGACATGTTTCTCTGAACAGCCATAGGGCATCCTTTTGCCACTGAACCTCTGCTTGCATCAGGTGACTAAAGGACGGGCAGCAAACAAAAGCAAAGGTAAAATACACTTTTTGTTTTGTTTGAAAATTTTTTGAGGACTGTTTTTAGAAACATGCTTTCTCAGAGGAGTTAGTTAGAAGAAAACTAGTTTTGTTTCATTTCTTGGAATATCCTGATTTCTTTTCTGTCCTAACTTATTTTATTTAGTTTCCAAATTCAGTTATCTTTCAAAATGTGAACTTGCTTTTATGAACCTAACATTGTAAAAAGTACATTTGTCGCTGACAGATATAACTTAAATTCCAGTTCATTTTTTATTATAAATTTGTATTTGAGGATGATTCTTACATTAATATGTATTTGAGACTTGTTTCATTTCTCTTCTACATGAACAATTTCTCTGAAAAGCAGCTTTTTGCAGTATATTGTGTTATCATAACCTAATACTTAATCCTTAATACAATAGCATCAGAATGTATTCCTTGAAGCAGGTTAGTAAACTAACTGTAGATAAGCCATAGAACATATGGTTTTATGAGAGACCCACAATTTTAATATTTTTTATAACTGATAGCTGTGCAGAGTCCCTCAAGCTAACTTTATATACCTAAATGGTTTTCTTTACATATAAGTATATTTCTTTATTTGATAAAGATTTTATTTTTGCATGATCGTTAATAAAATGTATTTTAGAAGATACGTTACATAGTTATCATACCTACTGTATTGGATAGTATTAGAGGGCTGTTATTTGGAACAAGTATTGCAGTTTTTAGGAAACATATGACATTTAAAATGGTTCAGAAGATGGTTATTTTTTTGGTCATAAAATATGTTTTAAATTTTCTTTCCAAATACTAATAAAGGGACTGAATATTCAGAGATGAAAATCAACAGGCACTTCAAATAACAAAATCAGTAATTGGGAAGAGGATGTAAACATATATATACATAAAGATAGTTAGATTTAGATTTTCCAGAAAAGAAAGAACACCTACCAAGACAATATGAGAAAGACAAATCTTAAATCATTTAATCCATTGGAGAGAGTACATCTTAAAGTCAAGAAATAGCCTAAAGACGGAGAAAAAAGCTATCTACTTTGGTGGCTACATACACCAAAGGTAAAGTGAAATTTTTGAAAAATTATGAGTTGAATAGCATAGCTTAGGCAATGAAACTTGATTATCTCT